TCTCTCTCTGTCTCTCTCTCTCTCTCTCTCTCTCTCTCTATATATATATATATGCCTACTGTATGTATACAGAGATTCTCTCTATATATATATGCATACATGCCTATTGTATGTATACAGAGATTCTCTCTCTGTCTCTGTCTCTCTCTGTCTCTGTCTCTCTCTATATATATATAGATATAGATATATGCATACATGCCTACTGTATGTATACAGAGATACTCTCTATGTCTCTGTCTCTCTCTCTCTCTATATATATATAGATATAGATGTATGCATACATGCCTACTGTATGTATACAGATTCTCTCTCTCTCTCTCTCTCTCTCTCTCTCTATATATATATATATATATATATATATATATGCATACATGCCTACTGTATGTATAGAGGGATATGCGCATTTTAAGAATCACTCTCCCACAGTTGAGCTGCTGTCACCTGGGGGTGGAATCTGGCAGCTGCTCCACCATCCATAAGCAGCCTTCCTTAGCTTGTTAGGACAGGACAGGAAGAACAGGGTTATGTGCATGGGAGTCTACTGCAGAGACTTCTTCCACAAGCTTTATAAGCTGGATTTTGGCTGTAAAGCAGAAATTAGCTGAAAAGTAGTTGATCCTTAATTGGGTCAAAATCCTAAAATCCCTTAAAGTAAGAGTTTTTGAAATTGTGGTTTGACATCAGGACTATCCCTGCTTCCCCTCCCAAGTCCACGCTGGCAAGGCTGATAAATTAGAAGAGCCCCACCAACCAAAGGACTGGGCCAGGCCTAACTTGAAAATAGAAATAAAGCAACCATTGATCCTAAACTCAAACTTCACCAGGAAAAAGTCATTTCCCAAATATTTTAAAAAATATTATTTTAGTTGTGGGTGGACACACTGCCTTTATTTTTATTTATTTATTGTTATGTGGTGCTGAGGATCCAACCTAGTGCCTCATCAGTGTTAGGCGAGCCTCTACCACTAAGCCACAACCCCAGCCCCATTTCCCATCTATTTTGACTTTGGCCAATAGCCTAGGACATTTCTTATTAAAATGTCAGAGTTCTTTGATCTTCAAGTCACAGATGAAAATCAGTCTGATCCCATTCTCTATGTTTTCAAATCAGGAAACGTTTCATGAGTGCCTACAAATCTTCCCTGCCCTCAAGGAATGTGCAGCTAGCAGGAGGTGACTGGGAACTGTGAATGGAAATAAAATGAGTAAGAGTTACAAGGCCTCAAGTGGAAAGACTGTTCTGTGGTGCAGGGTCAGAAAGAAAACTGCTGTCTGTGGAGAGGAGGGCCGCGAGCTCTCTCTTGGGCACATAGGCAACACAGCCAGGTTCTCCCAGAGGAGAGAATGATCTAGTGTGCCACACAGTCCAACTTGTAGCTTACCATTAAAAAAAACAACACAACCACCAACAAAATCCTCAAACGAGGGATTGTCTAGAATTTTAGTTACCAAAACCAAATGGAGGGTGCCCATAAAATCTAAAGGTCAATACTTTGCCACTTTTTTTGGACCAATTAGAAGAGTTTTCATTTCTGAAGACTTGGCTGCTGCGACTGAGAAGTCAAAGCTGGGAGGATCTGGCACTGGGGAGTCTTTTTGTCACTGCAGTAACGAAAGACAAGACTGTCATCTTTGTTTGAGGCTGTAGTTACTGTAACTTTGCAGAACCTGACAACCTGTGCCCAGACACTCAAGTCTGTATCATGATGAGGAGTATCAGTTTTTATAATGACGCAGAAAACAATCTCAGCTGCAGCCCAAGTTGCAGTTAATGGAGGCTCCTCCAGCTGCTGCTCAGCACAGCTGCCATCTCTCCACTGGGGGACAGCGGGTTCCATGTGGCAACAGCCCCCACGTGACCTTTACCTCAGTGCCACTGATTGCTTACCACCTCAGTGCCACGCACTGAGAACTCCTCCATCAAGCCACTGCTGCAGGCGGAGCCGCTCCTCCCTAATCCTACAAACTGGAATTCTTTACTTGGAAATAATCACCCGAATCAATAACCATGAAACTCAGCCAAACCTTGATGCTCCCTCAGGCTACCACCATCCCAGCTTTCCCTTCCTGGTCAAAACCCTCCACACACCACCCATGGGGCCACCTGTGCCATACTTTGTAATCCATGAAGTACTTTTTCTGTTCTCAGTTTCTCTTCATTCATTGATGCTTTCTTCTATTTATTCATTCATTCCCTCATTCTTTCACTCACTCATTCACTCATTCTTTGAACACACAGGAGTCTGGAATGTGCCGGCTCTGTGCCAGGTGTAGGGATGTGGAGGTGAACAGAGACTCCCTGTACTTTCCTTCAGAAAGCTGAGGGTTTCTGGATGGACATTCTCTTAAGAACCCACAGCCCCACCCTTTGCCAGGTTGGAAGGGATCCAGCGCACACTCCGGGGGGAGGGGAGGAACGGGAAGCTTGTGGGATTCGGTTCCTTCAGGAATCTTTGAGAAGATGAGGCCATTGTATAAACAACTTGAAACAAACTAGAATGTAGCAAGGCCCATGATAAAAGTCCCAGCTAAATGACCTGTGAGTTAGGAGACATATCAAGGCAGACTGCAAGGCGCTCCTGGCGCTCCTCCGGCTTGGGCTCAGTTGTCCCTTCTTCTTCCAGAGATTATTGAAAGTGTGGGAAGGGTCGGTGGCATTTGTGGACTTGAAAACCGAGTCCTGCAGGCCATCGTTTGTTTGGGGTCCCTCAAAGAACCAGCAGCGGCCTGCCCCCAGGATGCCCAGTCCCCATCCCTAGCCCAGTGCTTCATCGTCAGACGTAGCTGCCTGGTACAGACAGCGCACTCCGTGGGATAATTGCATTTTAATTGAACTGTCTGTACCACTCTGCTAACGCCTCTGCAGAGATGGGAGAACGTGTAGCTTGATAAATAAAATCATTTCTGCTAATAATTGCTTCCACATAAGGATGAGGGATCTAACTCTGGGAAAGGTCCCACTGGAAAGCATGTGATCAGACTTGTTAACTTTTTTCTCATTTTTCCCTTTTATTTCACAATTCGAGGTGGATGTGGACTGCCCAGTATGTTCTCCTGTCCAAAGTCAGTGCACCTGCCGGTGGGTGTGTGGGCGGGCGGCTTCCCTGTCTCTGGTGCCTCTGGTGGCTTGGGGAGAGGGGGCTGTGGGTTCTCCTTTCCATCTTCCATGGAGAGAGCGCTGTCCGCCGTGCGTGTAGTGTGTCCAGAGACTGTGAAGCAGCTTTCCTCTGGAGGCACATGCTTTGCTCCTGGTGTTGCCCCAATCTGGGATCAGGGGGCCTGGGCTTGGCCGGCGCGTTCCATCTGCCGGACAGTCCTCCTGACCGGGAGACAGTCTGAGCTGCAGACTGCACAGCCGCAGTCGCCTGAGAGCAGGCCTGCCCCGGGCTTCACCCATCTTCTTCAACTGCCTCCTTAGGCTCTGAGAGGCAGGATGCCCTGGGTCAGCCCAGCCTCAGTCACATGGACCACGCGGTCCAGCTGGGTGCTCCAGGTCATTCCGGAGAAGAGGTGAAATCCCTGAGCTCAGATTTTCTCAGCCAGAGGAAGAGGATAAGAGCAGTGCTTCCTGGGGCACTGGGAGGCATGAGTGGAAACACTTAGCGCAGCACCCAGCGCATGAGCAGTACCCTGTGCCATCCCCTTCCCATTACTGTTCGGTCCACATCCCATCGTGCCTGTGTCTCTCATCCCCGCTTCTCCTACTGTGCAGTAGGTTCCTGATGTCTGACTACACTCGGGACTGACGCCGGGCTAGACTCAGGTGGTCCAGGGCTCACACGGCCCTGACAATGTATGATGGACAGGAGGAGATAATGTATCTCTACTGCTTTCATTGGGTATTTTATTAAGTCCTGAAAACAGCACCTGTTTGCAACCACATAGCTGCAGGTTGAATTAATGGTGTCTAAAATGTAGTATTCCTTTTCCTAGAAGGAAAATGCTGAAGAATGAAGTGGAACTGTGATTGGAAACCCATGTGTTTCACATTTGTTCTGTACGACTGTGCGTAGAGTCTAAAATCGAATCTTAGCTCTTAGGCACCCCCCCCCCCCCATTTAGGGAGTGTCTGGGCCACCTCCCAGGTGACTAGAGGTGATGTGTGGGTACCTGAGCTCCTCCCACCTAGGGGAGGTGTGAGCCTCAGGCTGTGGGGTGACAAGGGTCCTGAATCGAGAAAATCCTTTGAGTGTGTAGACACCCCCAGCCTGCCCTGTGGAACGCACAGGCTTAGAGCAGGTGAGACTTAAGTGGAGCTGGAGAGGCTCAGAAGATGGGAGCAGTGGTGACAAATGACTGACACTAGGCCGCAGGGGAGTTTTGCTGTCGACCTCTAGTTCCTCCATTCCAGTGCCACCCTCTGAAAGAGGGGATCTGGGTCTGGGCCCTGTGTGTGTGTGGATCATGACTTCCGGGTGATTTGAAAGGCATTGCTATCGTGGGGAACCACGTCTTCACCTTGGTAAGATGGAAGCTTCCTTCTCCTCCTATTTTCCTTTTTAGTTCACCTTCTTGTGCTTTCTCGACAGTTCGCAAAGGTTACCGGATCCAAGCCGACAAAGAGAGAGACTCCATGAAGGTCCTGTACTATGTGGAGAAGGAGCTGGCTCAGTTTGACCCAGCCAGAAGGATGCGAGGCAGATGTGAGCATCTGTTGGTTTTCTGTGCTCTGCGTCACACAGGACTGAGTGGCTGTTCCAGCAGCGACGGGGCCTGCAGAGCCACAGCTATTGGGGTGCTGGCAGCTCTCGTACACCAAAGGGAGCACAGGGGCTTCTGGGGTGAAGAGCAGGGCAGTCACGCACCCTTGTTTTATGTTGGGTGTCTCCAGGGCACAGCCAGTATTGAACACCTGGCTTCCTAACCCTACGGTTAGAAGGAGTTATTAAACACCGTCCCCAGTGTCATATGCAGAGCAAGGACAGCATCTGGAGCCTCAGCGATAGTTGTCTTCCAGCATGAGGGGCCCAGCCTTGAAGTGAGCCTCCCACTCACCTCGTGAGAGTCAGAGGAGCCTGACACAGTGACTCTGGGAAAGGGAGCTGCCTTCCCCCAGGTCCCAACGTGGCCACTGAGGGCTGGGAGGAGGCTGCTCCTCTCCTCAGAGAACTTGTAATTACTAAGTCTGGAGATGGTGGGGCCCCAACCTAACTTACACACAGCCCTTGGAGACTCGCAGCTGACAGAGCTGATTCTTTGGGGTGGATTCCAACTGACTGTCTGTCTTGGGATGCAGAACAGAGCAGGCTGAGGGGGATGGCTGGTTACCAGAGGGTGCTGGCAGGCATGGCAGTGGGTCACGACGCGCTTTCTTTGAACCCTCTTCTTCTTGGAACCAAAGACAGACTTGATGGAATTGTTGGGGAAACAGTCCCAGACTACAGGAGCTTTATTCAGATTAAGGACAACATATTCCACCCAGTTTGCAATTCTAAATCCAGCCGTCTGCTGTAGCCCTTGCTGCACCCTCCCACCTAGCGGTCTATAAAAAGACCATCTCCAGATTGGAATGTCAGGAATGCAGATGTCACTGCACTTGACAAACTAGTGGTAGCAGTGTTGTCATGGATCCCTGTAAGGGGCAGACAGAGTTGGAATCCAGAAGCCTGGGCAGGAAATCTGTGCATCTCACAGCTCAGAGAAAAAGTTAACAATTAAGATTAAAACTAAAGAATGGATTCTCGTCCAGGTGGTGACTCCCCTGTCTGATTGACCCAGATGGTCTCCAGGGGCCAGCCGGTCATAAGGTAGTGGAAACTCAGAGTTACTGGGGACTTTAGGGACTGCCTGGTCAACCTTTGCAGTGTAACCATGAGGAAACAGAAGGCCAGGGGGACAGTGACAGATGCAGGGTGGAACCCAGCTCTTCTGAGTCCCAGTCTTGTGATCTTTACCAAAGAAGCTTGTGAGCTGTAATTTCTGGGGCGACCACAGCCTCCTTGTTCCTAGGGCTCCAGACTGCTGCGACTGGAAAGGACTCTGAGGTTGTTGGATCCGGAGGAGGACAGTGAGGCAAACAGGAAAAGTGGCCAGCACCAGTACTCAGGGCCAGTGGGGGGCGGGAGCCCAGATCACTGGAAGCTGCGCGTTGACATTATAGTAACTATGCATGGAGGTGAAGAGGAACAGAGCCTGCTCTACTTTGAAAGGCTGGTTCTGTTTCTGAAGAGCAAAGTAAACCCTAGGGTGGGTCCCAGAATGGGCCCCTCCTGGAGGTCTTGTAACATGGATCTCATGGTTTCAGGTTAAGCAGGGAGTCAGGCTGGGAGTCTGAGGCCCAGGTCTAGGCAGGATGGTCCTTATTTGCCTTGCCCTTTTGAGTGGTAGGTTGCTCCTGGGATGTTTCAAGTCCGAACATTCTAGAGCAGGAGTCAGCAAACAATATCCCCTGCTCCAAAGATGTCCCAGCTTCTGTTTTTGTAGATAGAGTCTTACTGGAACACAGCCATACCATGTCACTTATATATACTCTTTGACTGCCTTCATGTAGGATGGTGGAATTGAGTGGCTGTGACATTGTGGCTCACAAAGCCCAGCCCTTCACAGTTTGCCTACCTCTCCTTAGAGCTACCTCAGTGGCTGTCTCTGAAGTGGGGATGCTGACATTTGTGTTCAGTGGCAGCAGTTTTAGTGTAATGCACATCCTGGACAGTTTGTTCCATGAGTAGGGAAACAGGGATAGCTCTCACTACCTGAGGGATGAAAAAGGTCATGTTTCCTGAAATTTAAGGAAAGGTCTGAGCCAACAACATTACTTTACAGAGGTCTCATTTAAATTTCTTTTCTGTATAGTTCCTAGGAAATTGGAATTCATAGGAATCATAAGAAGGAATATTCTAGAATTGATTAATCAAAAGTATCTCAGTTATTTTCCTTTAAAATAAGCAGAAACTTAGAGAAAAGTTTCTTAAGAGATAGAAAACAATTAAAAATCAGATTATAATTCAAAACCAACTGATCACGTGATGAAACCTAATGGCATTCAAGGTAAAGGCTGTGTTCCTGGCAAGCAGGGGCTAGGAGGTTTGGTGTGGGGGAGGACCTGTCGCACTGCTAGGCAAAATTCTCTGTTCTTCCCAGGACTGTTGGAGCTCAGAGGGGAAAATCAGAGGGAACCTGAGACACATTGTGCTTCCCACATCTTATCTTGGCTTACCTCTTGCTCAATAGCCAGGCTTTAAACCTAGTAAATATTGTTTTTAATAATATTTTCAAAGTCCTAATGAAAAGATTTTGGAAAACAAATGGATTCTGTTACATTACAAATAGGTTCACTCAATTTATTTTTTTAAAATAAAATGAAATTCAATCCATTTCAAAGCTCTGTAAACAGCAGCCCCCTCCCTCCCCAGCCCCCGCTTTAACTTCCCAACTGTGGTTCTGATCCTTTTTTTGCAAGTGCTTTGCAAAAAGCCCCTTAGGGAAGGAGGGAGCTGTGACTAGACACACACCCTCCCATTATTAGGCTGGGACCAGAGCACAGATGGAGGCCCACAGGCCACAGGCACCCCCTGTCCTTCTCACACCTCCAAACAGCAGCTTGCCCATGGCAGCCACACACTTGGAATGCTCCTGGGCCACGGGAAGAAGTCTCTCCAGGCCTGGAGAGTGGATTTGGTGCCACTTGGGTGAGTGTGGTCTAAAGGTAGGCGTATGGATGCTGGCATGCACTCCCCTTGACCTCGTGGGCTTCTTGCTGCGTGGGGAAGGGCTCAGTGGAAAGCGGGCAGAAGAGCAGTCCTCGAAGGCCTGTGGCAGTATTGGCTCTGGAGGCCCCATCTTGGCCCTGGTCAACAGCAGGGAAGATGCTGTCAGATGTGCTTCTCTCTCTCGTTGTCCCTTTTGGTCCAACATACCTGGGATTATCACAGCTCACCAAATAATTATACAGGAAAAAGAAAACATACATGGATGATGATGTGCCAGGCCAGCTGCAGGGAGCCTGAGTTCTGGGAAGTTAGCCTTAGGTGGAACAAAAACAATTGTTCTGCTGTTCCAAGAAGAGGCAGGACTCCTCCCTCTCAGTAAGCAGGTAGGCTTCCCACTGGAGCCAGTTCCTGCTGCCAAAAACACAAATACCACCTGCAGGTGAACAACCCACCCTTGACAGGCCTGACGCCCCCAGCCGGGAGTTTGTGGAGCCTCTGGTCTCAGCCCTTCCTATCTAACACGGAGAAATCTCTGTCCCTGCAGATAACAACACCATCTCAGAACTCAGCTCCCTGCATGAAGAGGACAGCAGCTTCCGCCAGTCTTACCATCAGATGAGGAGCAAGCAATTCCCCGTGTCTGGGGACCTGGAGAGCAATCCTGACTACTGGTCGGGTGTCATGGGAAGCAGCAGTGGGGCCAGCAGGGGACCCTCAGCCCTGGAGTATAACAAAGAGGATCGGGAGAGCTTCCGGCACAGGTGATGGCCGCCAGGGGGCTGAGCAGAAGCAGGTAGAACTGAGATTGTTGCTAAACAGCACCGTCCCTCCTTCTGGGTCTCTTTCCATCCTGTGGGGAGCTTCCCTCTCTCACATTTATTAATCAAGGGGACCTTAGGACTCTTGAAGGGACTGCATAGAAGTAATCATTCGAGGCCTTTTGAAAATGTGAACTCTGGGCTCCTTAATGAACCTTCACGTATCTCTGCCCTGATACATTTTATCCTATAACCTCCGAAATCTCCCATCATCTCCGTCGTTTTTGATCATTTGTTACCTGAAAGGTAAAACGCCAACGCTTTATAATGTTGCACTTAATTCTCGTGACTCACAGGCAGCCACCAGTAATATACCATTTTAAGTTGGGAAGGCAAATTTCCATATGCTACGGCACTTACCAGCCTGATAAGACCAAGCTTAGGGAGGCTGAGTCTACCCAGTTCCTGGACGCGTCCCCATGAATGGCACTTATTGCCTTTACCTTGAAGGACAGTCGACATCGCCTCTCACTCTCACCAACTGCAGGGGTCCCTCTGCCCAAGAGGTAACTTGGCCCTTGGCTGGAGGGCGAAACAGGCCGCTCAGTGTACCCCCAAACTGCAGAGGCTCCTGGGGCCCCAGCCGTGCGCGCTGCCGCTGGCTGGGGCGTAGAGCGGGTGGCGTGAGACGCGTGGCCGACCAGGGCTCATCATAACGATCAGAAGGCGTGTTTGGGCCCTCGCTGGACAGCGGGAGGTGCCCAGGAGCCGGTGCGCTTCTAGGCCAGCCCGAGCCCGCCCGGGCCGCGGTTCTGACCACTGACCCACCACTCCTCTGTCCGCAGCCAGCAGCGCTCCAAGTCCGAGATGCTGTCGCGGAAGAACTTCGCCCCCGGGGTGCCCGCAGTCTCCATGGACGAACTGGCGGCCTTCGCCGACTCCTACGGCCCGCGGCGCCACGCCGACGGCAATGGCCTGGAGCCGCGGGCCGGCAGCCGCTTCGAGCGCGCGCGCACGGGCCTCCTCCAGGACGGGCCGCTGGAGGAGCTGTACGGGCGCGGCCGCAGCCGCGAGCCGCTGGACGCAGAGCGCGGCTGGCCGGAGGACGCGCCCCTGCCGCGCCTGGTGAGCCGCACGCCGGGCACCGCGCGCAAGTACGAGCACGCGTACCTGGGCGGCGCGTCCGAGCGGGCCGAGGGCGCTGGCCGCGGCGGCAGCCTGGAGACGCCCGCGCGGCGCGGCGCGCAGCTCGGCCCGCGCAGCGCCTCCTACTACGCCTGGTCGCCGCCCGCCCCCTTCGAGTCCCGGCCCGGCGACGCGGAGCTCGAGCCCGACGACACGCTGCCGCCCTACAGCGAGCGGGAGCTGAGCCGCGGCCCGTCCTGGCGCAGCCGCGACCTGCCGCACCACGGCGGCTCGGAGAAGCGCAGGAAGAAGGAGCCCGCCAAGAAAACGGTGGGCGGGGGTCGCGGGGGCGTCTGGGTCCTCGCGGGTGCCGCGGGCGAAGGGAGGGAGCACGTGGCCCTGCAGAGTTAGGAAGGGCAGAAAGCCAGGCGGCGTCAAAGGAGCTTTGAGCGCGGGGGTGCTGGGCGCACTCTCCCCATCGCCCGCCCGCTCTGGGAGGGGAGACGGTTCGTAACTCGCAGAAAGTTCTTGAAAGAGCCCCCATCCAGAGAAGGTTAGGAACCCCTGCTCTTTACAAAGGACAGCTTGCTTTTTCTTTCCTCCTTTGACATTTTATTGAGTGTAAACTGTGTACTGTGCCTCGGGGATGTGCAGGAAATCCTGGGTCCCAGCTGCCCAGTTCCTTTTTATTCCCAACACCCCCCCCCCCCCCCCGCCTTGAATGGTTATGTAGACTGTTGCTGTCGAAGTGCAGACAACCCGCTCTGTCCCTCAGCCGCTGAACATGAGACCTGGACCTCAGACAAACACCGGGGGTCTGTCCCAGATGTCCACAGTGAGGTGCCAGAGTGGCTTCCAGCCACTGCCCCTGATCAGTTACCTCGCCTCCCTGCCATGTAGCTTTTCCGGAGTCCAAGGGAGATTTTCCTTAGTGTGGAGTATAGGGAGAAGGAATAGCAACAGAAAAAAAGGCTTGACATGTCATTAGTCCCTCCAAACAATTGCCTTTTGTTTTTTAAATAGAAGAAAGCAATGGCCAAAGTACTGTGAGTAGGGAGGAAACTGTCAGGGGCTTCAGGTCTATAGTACACCATCCTCCCTTGTTACTGGGAGCATGCGGTAAACATAGTAGCTATTCTTAAGGTGGTGGTAAGTTATTCTGCAGGCAGGGAACAGAGTTCTGTCTGCTAGCTGTGGGCTTCAGCCCCGTTTCAGGCTTGGGGACATCAACACAAGTTCAGAGTCAGGATGTGCCTGCTCTGAACAGGTTCTGGACTCCGCCCAGTGAGCCAACCCTTGTGTTGTTGCTTTCTTTAAGTATCTTCTAGTTTAATGTTGGACTCTTTCTGCTTTTCCCCAGAGTGAGTTTCCAACCAGGATGTCCCTTGTGGTCTGATGTTTTCAAGATGTCTTTGGAGGACCAGAAGTCAGACACAGACTACAGCGACAAGATGCAAGCCAGCAGGCCAGGACCTTCTCTGGCCACCACCTTGGAAGATCTACTCATCTCTGCTTCGGCCGGGGACAGGAGGCAGCCTTTCAGGAGGCTGATTCCAAACCTCAGTGCCCCTCTAGCTGGTTTGAGAAGCTCATCAAGAAGACCACATGTGCAACAGTGCACACCGAGTGTCTCCCCCAGTTTCTCCTGCCCAGTCTCCTTCCTGAGTGGAACCAGGACTTCACTTCCTAGTCAGAAAGAGTCAGCGCCCTGGACTGCTGGTCTCCAGAAACTGCCTGAGCCTACAGTATGCTTTTCTGTACTCCCGTGCTATGCCTGGCAACTGAAGAATGTACTGCCATTAGAAGGTCCGCTGGTGGGCAGAGATAATTTCAAGGCAAAATATCCCTTTTACCCCAATGCTTCCCAGTCACTAGCCAGTGACTGTCACTACACTAGAACCAGAGAGCTTCTGGTGACCTCAGTGACAGTGACCTCCCAGACTATCATAGAAGTGGCTTCAATTTGCTGTTCTGAATCACAATTCTCCAGTGACATAACAGAGTAGTATACCATTTTGAAAACCTGTCTAAGTGGTATTTCTTTTCTCATTCTGAGGACATAACACTGCTCTTTCTCATTCTGCTGCACCTGTCAACATCTGAGTCTTGCACCTTATGGACTCTTCTTTTCCTCTCCTCTCCTGGACTTGCCATAGGTTGGTGCCATATACAAAGCCCCACCTGTCTGCACTCTGATTAAGTTGTCATCAGGTGCCTTTGGTATTGCTTAAATTGCACACATGGATGAGAAGAGAGAGAAAACAAGAGGAGAAATAAGTTATGCACAATGGAAAAGAATGAGAAAGAATTCGAGAGGAAAAGAATGCCCAGTCTGATTATGTTTTGAATGTGGGGCATCATCCCATAATTGCCACTCAGTCTTTCCTGGTTTTCATTTACTGAGTTCTTTCTGCCACCCTGGTTCTGCCATGGTTGGGGGTGAGCCCGCAGCTCTTGGCATCACTGGGCTGCCGGCAAGGATGCTTTGGCAGATGACGGGTATCGTCTTCTCGGAAAGGAGCCCTTCCTGTTCCTACTCTTGCCTAAATCCCAAAGCAAGAACCTTTTGGATTTTGTAATTTGTAGATTGCAAAAATAGCCAAGAACTTTTCCCTTCTCACTGAGAAGTGGAAGTCTTTTTATCCACCCCTGAATTTGGAGTTGGCCAGGTGGTTTGATCTGACCATGGCCCAGTAGCAAATGTAACCTAAGCAGAGACTTGAAAGGTTCTTGTGCATTCAGTTTGTCCTCACTTGCTGCTCTTGGGAACCTTGCAGCCACCACCAGGAGAAGGAGCCTGGACTCTCCTGCTGCATGATGAGAGAAAAGGGCCTCGTTACCCTGTCCCCCTGTGTGACAGCTTGTCTGCCCTCTGCTGATTGCAGATGTGAGAGTCCAGCCAAAACCATGGAAGAATGGCCTAGCTGAGCAGGGCCAGCTGCTGATCCCTTCTCAAGGCAGGAGAAGTTGGTGCACCCTCTGTGTTCATTTTTCTTCAAAGACAAAACTGACTCTTCTCATTGGCATGTTCTGCCCTGATTCTATTCCTCCATCCACTTTAGGTGTCTCTCAGCCTCCACTTCCTTTTTATCACAGCCTTTCACCCTGTGCTGTTGTGATGGAACATGTGGCTGGGTTGAGTCACCAGAGGAGGCTCGTCCTGGTCGTCTCCAAACCCAGCAGTGGTCCATTCCCTGTCCGTGGGTCCATGGACAGCCTCTGAAGAAGCTTGCTCAGCACCTCCTTGGTCTTCTCCAGAGCCACCTGCCAAGACCACAGAGTGCCATTCTAGTTTCTGTTCTTCATGACATTTTCAAAAGGTCCTTCATGTACAGTGTTACAAAGAAGCAGCTGGGGAGGATCAGAGGGATGAGCTGGATCACTGCACAGAGGAGAACTGGCCTACCAAAGGACTTCAGGTCTCTCTGGCCTGCCCCAGAGGAACCATGAGGACAGTTCAGCCCAGTTCTGGCCCTTCCAAGGGCTGGAAGACACAAGCCATAACCCTGGTGCTGAGTTTCAGACTTGACAATGTCCCTGGCCTCGGAAAGCCTAGGTCTGGTCTATCTGGGCCCCAGTTCAGATGGAAAATGCTGCCAGCCCTGGATCTCCCTTGCTCAGGCCATTCTGCTGAGCACTGGACAGCTGACCACAGTGGCCATTACGGCTTTATAACTGAGCACTGTGCTAGGCTTCTCACCACCAAAGAGCCCCACAGCACCAGCTGCAGAGACCCAATGTGTTGCTTTGTAAAGCCAGGGACATGTGAGATTTTGGTGACAGTTGAGAAGAGCAGTGGGAAAGAGTTATTAAAATTGGATGCCTACAATTTCAAAGACCACAAAACTAAAGACAGGAAATAAAAAATGCAAAGGTAGAGGGCTGTGGAAAGAACCTAGCAGGTGGTGGAATTGCTGGAGTCACACAGGGGCCAGCTTGTTCTCTGTGGGGCTGCAGGAGTCACCCATCAGACAGAAGGCGGCCGTCTCTGGGTGTGTAACAAGGTGTAAGGTGAATAAACAAGGCAAAGCCAGCTCTTCTCAATGCCAGGCTCTTTTCTCACCTCCTTTCTTCATTCCCCCTGAAGACTGCGTCCTGCATAGGAAGGGCCTGGATGCTAGCATCCTCCCTAGGTTTTATTGGGGCTTAAGTCCTGTGTAAGACGTGGTCTCCGTCCACTGGGGCCATGCAGTTTAATAAGGGAAATGAGATGGGCCCGAGAAAGAATTGGAGTTCGTGCACAGGATAGGAAATAGTGCTACGGATAAATTACATTAAACCCAGAGATTTAAAAGTTTCTTTAAATGGGAATATTTTGATATTTAAGTGTTGTGTGTGTTTGTCCATCATCCCATTAAAAGACATGCTCAATCAATGATCTGAAAAGCCAGTCTTCAAAAGTCTGAACTGAAAAGAGGTGAACTGGGTTGGGGAGTGGGCCGAGCGGCAGGGGGCCTGCAGCCTGCGGGCACTCTTGCTGCCAGGTATGCTGGTGTGAGCTGTGTCCACCTCTCCAGGCTCCACTCTGCTCGGGGGGTTGTGCCCACCTTGCCCAAGGCAGGCAGGTTCCACCATGGCCTCTCATCTCTCAGAGTGTACTTGTTCTGCACTTGGCCCAGGACTGGGCACACCAGAATGGAAGGGGCTGCCTCCCAAACCCCAGGCACATCTGTATGTATTTCCAATAGTCTGCAAAACGTCGTGTAAATACCCCAATCAGGTGGCCTTTAAGAGAGGCTGAAGAAACAGGTATGGTTAGCATTCACCCACACCTTTCTAAGAGAGGGAGAAACATCACCCCCATTAGTGAAATCACAAGCCCGGTCCCTCTTTAGCGTCCTGCTGAGGTCTTTCCTGCAGGATCATGGTCACAGATCGCCTCACACTGAGAGAGGCATGACTGCTGCTGATTACAAGGTCCCGGTGGGGCCTGCCTTGATGAATGGGGGTCTGGAGCCAAGAGCTGCACTTGGACTTGCGTTTCAGGAGAGTCCTTTGATGGGGTGCCTTTGGGGGTGCTGCGCTGGGTCCCACCTCCTCCTAGTGCTGCCTGAAGCTTCCTGGGGTGGGGGGTGGGTTTTTCAGGTGTCTGGTGAGGCCCCTCCCACTGCCCTGGGGCTGGCAGCAGGGAGGCACCCACACCTTGATGGTGACCTGGAGACTGGCCAGAGTGGAATGGAAGGGAGACGAGGGGGGAGGAGGAGTTAGGAGCCCGCTCCCAGCTTGCTCTAGTGCCTGCATTCCCAGAATAGTGATCTGTTGTGACAGTCTCAGCTCAGACAACAAGAATTACAGGTAATTTTCTCATTCCCTTGATGCCATTCTGAGCAAAACTTAGATCATGAATAGAAAGAAGGGAGGCCATTGGGGAATGGCAGATGTAAATTATTTTTCAAAGCATGCAGATTATTAGCCTTGCTAGTCCAAAGCGGAGTGGGCAAGAGTATAAAATCTACATTATGTCTCCTTCCAAAATGGGATTGAAGCATTGCCTGAATCCAAAAGGAGTTTGAAATAGACTTAGAAATGTAAAAATTCAAATTCAATAAAATAGTAGTCCAGATTCTTAAAGCCCTAGAAGAAAAAGAGCCTATTTTTTTCCTATCCTACCTCCCAGTCACCTGGGAGGCTGGTGTGTGACACTCGAGGTCCAGGCCGGGGGCTCTGCCAGATAGTGGAGCTGCTTCAAGAGCATCCTGAGTGGAGGGCTGGGCGTGGTGGCCCATGCCTGTGGCTCAGGAGGCTGAGGCAAAAGGATCCAGCCTCAGCAAAAGTGAGGTACTAAACAACTCGGTGGGACCCTGTCTCTAAATAAAATTGTTGAGAGCCACAGCCCAAGGGGCCCCAGCAAACTTCTAGCTGCCAGCAAACTTCCAGCTGCCAGCTGATGATTGGCTCACAGCAGCCCCAGCAAACTTCTAGCTGCCAACTGATTGGCTCCTCTGTGGTGATGCTCATTGGGCTGTTTCTCCGCCCTTTCAGACCACAGAGCTGCTCATTGGGGGACTTTTTTGGCTCCGCCCATGCAACCCAGCCAATCGGCCTCAAGAGCAGGAGGAGTGGTGGGGGGGGGGGGGGGGGTG